TAAGATAGCCGAGCAATAAACTTGCATATAGAGCTATCAAAAAGGCTCCTTGTTCTTGAACAGTTTGTGTTCGATTCGTTAAGAAACTGATGCTTGATTCGTTTATTAAGTAAACGAGCCGAACATGAACAAATTTTTTTTGTGCTTGATATATAAACTAGTCAAAGTTAATGTTGGACTCATTTTTCACTCGAAATACTAATTTTATCCACACACACACACACACACACACACACACACACACAAATGATATGCAAGATTCTTGAGGCAATTGTAGTCTTCATCCACCGAATTGGCTGTCCTCGACTGCTTTTCCCTTCGAACTGAGGACTTTTCCCTCCAAATGGAGGATGCCTACGGTGCTGATATATAAATATATAGGAATTATAAGGTATGAATGTACAATTTTTATTTTTATAATTTTTTTTAGTACGCACTTCTGATTTGAATGTGTTTTTATCTTGCCTATCTTGATTTATTGGCTGGGAGATTCGAGTCTTATCATAATAATATAATGAATTTGGGTTGTATGTAAATTCTTCTTTTTTTAATTAAAAAATTTTGTACTTCAAGGATGAGCTAACATGGATCCCGAGTAGATCCAAGGGTCTAGAAGGATATTAATACAACAAATAAGAGCCCAACAACCAGAGATCAAGAGGCCCACTTATCCAATCTGATGTAAACATATAGCCATTCGAGCCAAGGATAGATTAACCGAGTGAAAGGCATGCTAGCCCAACAGATCGAGTCATAGGGTAGTCGAGCAATAGGCTCGCACATATAAAATATCTAAAATATCTTATACATCCTCCATTAAAATAGGGCTAGAAATATAATATCATATAGTGCACATACTCCCCCTATGAGTAAGTAAATTATTTAATGAGAAAGAACCAATAGAGAAACGTCTTATTAATCATTATAGTTTACTCATCTCTCTCTTCTTTATTACGCTCTAATTCTTGGCATGCCAGTCACACACAAATCAAAGTTCCAAAAATTTATTTAGACCTAGGTGCCTTAGATCTTATTTAAGAAAAAAAAAGAAGAAGGTATTTTTGTAACATTAAGTGCAATTTCATTACATGCATACCCATGGAGTGCTTACAAATAGTATCCAGCTGGTGTGAGTGGGCTTTGCAGGTAGATTCTAATGATTTATTAACTTTTCCTTAATGATGATTGAGCCTATATCCTCGGCCCATTTCAAAAGTGTGCAATGATGAGCAAATTTGAATAAAATAAAAGTGAAATTTACAAACATACCATATATTTCCTTTATATTTAGATATCTAACAACTAAAATTTATGTTTATATTTGTGTAAATTTTAGAATTCCAGTTAGTTGAAGTGGAGGAATGCTACGAGTCTATCGTGTGAAAGAAAACTACCGTTTAGACTAAAATAAAAATTTTATAAGATGATGGTGAGACCTGCAATAGTCTATGGCGTTGAACGTTGGCCTTTACAAGAGAAGCATAAATCAAGTTAAGAGTTGTTGAGATGAGAATGATTAGGTGGATGAGTGACTTTACACTTGGAGACAAAATGCGAAATGAAAATATTTGTGATAGGGTTGGTGTAGCTCCAGTGATGGACAAAATTAGAAGGTCGTCTTAGATGGTTCGGTCACATTAAACGTTGACCATCTGATGATCAAATTAGGAGAGTAGATGTTTTAAATTCAACTTATGATAAGAAAGGCAGAGGTACACCTAATAAGACTTGGGGCATATTGTATAAAAAATGATATTAATTTATTATAATTAAATGAAAATATGAGACTCAATATGTACTCATTTGAGCACTAATTTATATTATTTTGGCATCATGAATCTATGCATGGAAAGGTGTAGTTCAAGTTAATAATAGTATTTTTTACGGAATATTATGCATGTAAATATGTAAGTTTTGGTGTTATAAATGCAAATACATAAGAATTATGCGGTATGAATGTAAATGTCCCATAAAAATATATTGATTTTAATTTAATTAAAATATTTTTTATAATTTTTAATTTTTAAATAATTTACATCAACATATTTTGACCAAGCTTTCATAGGAGAATCCAAAATATAAGTACTCAATTAATATTTTTATGAAATTAATCTCAAAATAAATTTAATGATTTTAAATTTATTTTAATAAAAAAAATCAATTAGAAAATTTTGAGTTTTTTTTTGCAATTAATGTAATATGTTATTAATAAATTAAATTTATTAATTTGGAAAAAGGAATCAGAACCAAACGCACAGCTTCATTATTTCACATGTCAACATGTACCAAATGCTAATTTTTAGATTATTTTTTGGTTTGGTTCTGTAAAAAAAATAGATAACTGCAATTTTTTAATTTTGGTACTTTTGGTTACTAAGGATAAATTTCCTTACGGACAACGCTGTAACAGCTACTTTTTTTAATTTCCAGCTTTAATTAGATTGAATTATTTGTTGTTACACTTTATCTTATTTTAGAGGTATTTACATATTTACCAAATTCTCATATATTTACCTCACCTATATATATATGCTATATATATATATATATATATATTCTCATGAAATTATTTCATGAAAGATTTAATTTTCTTAAAATTTTTTTATAAGAATTGATGTGTGCTGGAAGATTTAGGTCGGTAGAGTAATAAATTATCATCTTAAAGCTGCACGAAGATTCTGTACACACTTAGATGATAGAAAACAATCAGTAGAAATACCATAAGTTTTTACGTGGAAAAGGGTTAAATGAAAAAAATAATGATGTTTGACTCAGTTACAAAAATCTACTATAAAGGGATGATTATGGATACTTCTTGTTTCATAGGCGGTAAAGTTATAGAGTTTCCCAAATCACGTCGATGTGCGTATGAATTTGTTGCAAGAAACTGGCTGGGACTAGTGCCCGCCGGCAGGTTGTGGTCAATGATGGCCGGTCGTGATCGACGACGGTTGACAGTAGTTGACGGCAACTGACAGGGGTAGACGATGGTAGAAGTGATGCCAAACTTCAGCTCATCCTCAAAGCTTAAAGATCTTTCTCAATTCTTATGCTTTCGAGGTGTGGGACTCTATTTATAGAGTTCCAAGCACATGAATGCAGAAATATGAACCACTTTGTTCGGATGGTCCGAAGATTTTCCTTTGATTATACGATGTTACATTGACATTTGAGTGTCTTTATGATGTTAGAATTAAGCGATCTTGAGCTCGTTGGATTTGTTTTGTCGTGACACTCGATTCAATCATAAACTCATCAAATTCGACATTTATTTAACCACTCAAATTTGTTCATAAAGCTTCTAAAATTCGCTTGAATTAGATCAATTTTTGTATCATCGGGGTCTCATCGAGCCGGTTAGTTTGACTATAAGTTTATTGAAATCAAAGCTCAAGATGACTCTTAATTGAAATTTAAATATTTTTGGATGAATAATTACCTCGATTGTTAGGATTTGTTGGAGGCATAAATTAACGATGATTAAAATTTTTCTTATTATAATTATATTTAGATAACTGTGATAAAAGTTTAATTAGTGCTCTAATTTTGGGTTACCAAAAATCTTTTTCTCTAATAAGCCTTAAAAACCAGGCTCCACCTAATCACTTTCTTAGGTGTAATTCCACCATCACTCATGTTACCCTGAGGCAACTGATTCTTGGGAAATTTACATACATACCACACAAATCTTATGTATTAATACATCTAACCCCCAATGTTTTATATTTACACTTCCAAAACATCGTTGTCATAAATTTATGTATTATAAAGCTTAATTCATTTTTAAAAAGAATGTAATGGTGGTATTTTTGATCTAATGCTGAATGTTTGAGCGGTATGTTTGTAAATATAAATGTGTAGGTGTTGATCATGTAAATATATAAAAATTGTGTGGTATATAGGTCCCATTCTAGAAGCAGAATTAGGTTAATCTTATTAGCAATTGTATGTACAGCAGGTCGGATTAGTCTAATTGATGTGCGCTGGATGTGGGATCTCTGGTTCAGAGAATATGCTGCTTTTGGATCAACATGATTTTAATGGTGGAGATAATTCAATTTTTAATGAGCATATATATATATATATATA